GCTTATATTGGTGCAAAATAGAGCTTCCAGGTTGCTGACGGGGACGGGGCGTTATGCTCACATGACTCCAGTCCTCCGTCAGCTTCACTGGCTTCCCATTGAAGCCCGGGCCCAATTCAAGGTGTTGATTATGACCTACAAAGCCCTAAACGGCTTGGGTCCTGGCTACCTGAACGAGCGCTTACGTCCGTATATGCCCGACCGCCCTTTGAGATCTGCGGGAGAGTCCCTTCTCTGGGAACCCTCCATGAAAGAAATTAGGAGAGTAAGTACCCGGAGGAGGGCTTTCTCTGCGGTGGCGCCCAACCTATGGAATTCACTCCCCAAAGAGGTCCGCCTGGCACCGTCGTTACTGGTTTTTCGGCGCCAGGTAAAGACCTTTTTATTTAAACATCATTTCAATTGTTAAAACATATGATCTGGCCTGGGCAACTTCTTCTTCCTTCTCTTTCTCATCCTATATTTTTATTTTATACTGATAATTTTAATTTTGTATTTGTAAATCAATGTATTTTTTGTATTTTTATATTTAATGGTAATTTATTATGTACTATTGTATTTCAATGTATTTTATCATGTTGTAAGCCGCCCCGAGGTTTCGGCAAGGGGTGGCATAGAAATGTAATAATAATAATAATAATAATAATAATAATAATAATAATAATAATAATATCATCTCCCTGGTCATTCAGGGACTTTTCTCTGCCCCTGATGTTCATGTGCTCACATACACATTTCAGAACCAGTTCTTCTTTGGCTTGTATACTTTCTACTTCCCCCACCCACCAGAGTCCGTTCAGATACTCTTCTCTCCTCTTCCCACTTCAGAACCTCTCCATACACCAGGCTGGAAAGAATCTTATCCTTCCCACCCACATCTGCTGCATATAAAATATAATGCCTTCAAATGGGAGATATTCCATTTATCTGAATATGAGATCTCCCTGAACAAGGAGTTTGATTCATGGCATAAAAGAGATCTCGCATTAAATGAATCCTTTGCTTCAAGCACTATCTTCTGCACACTGTGAGTTTGCGCACCAGCTTGAGATCAGTTCCTAGTTCCATCATTTCTAGAAGGAGAGGTTGGGTAGGGACCAGGATGTCTTTGTTTTTCTGTAGCAAGAACTTCTCCAGTTTAAACTCGACTGAATCAATCCCTGCTTTCCTTTCTTTCCTCCTAAGCAAAGAATATGGCATCATCCCTTTGCGGAGTTGATAGTCTTCAAATAACTGTACACTTGCTTAATGATGCAGTGTTCCATTTGTCTTCAAAAAATATGTGTATTTAGCAGAAGAAACAATGCAGGCTATGTTCAGGCTCATTTGTTATCTCACTCCCAGCTTAAACTGAAATATCTAAATCTCCCCTCTACACCCAGCTCCTTTAAGCATGTTTGTCCTGTCATAAAGTCTTTCATTTTGCTTGTAAAGTCTGGGAGGGGAGTGAGAGGAGGGAGAATACAAGACTTGAATGCCATTAGAAGGGAGTTGCAGAGAGATAGCAAGAAGGCGAGAGGCTGCACGGCCGGCCTCCTCATCTGCTCATCATCTCTCACTATACAATGCACCCGCTCTCCTTGGGTGGTCTGGAAGGAACGGCAGAAAGCAGCGCATACCTTGGTCAGGGCCCCAGCCTCGCTCGGCTTTCTCCCTCAGTGACTCCAGCACAGGCTCCCATTATTGCATTTCAGCTAACATATGCAGCAGTGGCGGCAGCCACATTTTGAAGCGGTCAATTGCCGAGAGGCTCGTTTCATGAGAAAAATAGTTCAGTTTATGGATGGGGATAGACATAGCACTCATTTTTCTCATGTTTGCAGCGGGTTGAGTGGGTATGTTTTGATGTTTTCAGAGAAGCTGAGCCCTTCCTCCTTATGCTGGCAACTAAGCCACAGCTCATTCACACGCTCCTGGATTAAAGCCTCAGCCCCCACCAGCTTTGTTGGTTTCCAAGGGCAGACATGTGAGACCCCCCTCCCCACCCAGTTAACCCTCCTCTCGGATGGCTGCTTTATGCGAGGAGCAAGGGTGACATGAGGGACCTTTCCCATTCCTGGCAATGCCGGGCCTGGGGTTTTTAGCAGCCTCAGTTGACCTTTCCTCCTGGTCTGTTCCAGTTCTTTGTACTGGGGCTACCGTTTCATGAAAAGAGAGCTTCAAATTGATATTTCAGTGAATATTGTTCATCACAGTCAAGGACATTGTTAGTGACATGAAATGATCATGCGCTTCCTATACCAAAATAGAGTATTCAGCATGCCTATGCAGTAGTAAACAGAACAGAGTAGTATCAGGGAATGATGCAAAGAGTGTTGGGGGTGGAAAAACTGGTCATGAGTTGACCAGCTCCATCATGGAGAGTCAGCCCTATGTTTGAGACCTTAGGCAAAGTGTCCTCTGGTGGGCCCTCTCCTGTGTGGGTGATTCCTGGTGGACTTCCTTGGCAGTAGGAGGCAACAGATGTTCCAATCAGTACTGGACAGCTGTGGGACACCATGTTGTTTTCCCAGCATACCCCAGAGCAATGCTACATCATACATATTGTAGGAAGTCAATCTGGTACCTTCCAAGACCAGCTGCCTAATGCTTATCAAGGCACTGTGGGCAGGGGGTCAGTCAGTTGGTCGGTCGGTCTGTCTGTCTGTCTTAGGAGGCTCCAAAACTAGTGCCAGTGACAGTTCCTGCTGGGGTCCTGGCAACTGCCCAAGGATGCCACATGCTGTTTCCTGGCCTGACAACATATTTAAACATTTAGAGAAACGAAAGTTCCCAGTAACCTGGAAAACATGGACCATGACTTAAAGCAGAACATGGAAAGTCCCAAAGTTGCTGTGTGTCCTTGCAGCACAATATTCCCCAGACCAATCCTTTAAGCACGCAAACATATATGATGCCTTTTAACCAGCTGACAGTCATAATATGAGTGTTAGCGATAGTTTATGCTCAAAATACGCATTTGGTCCATGAGTTCTATTTCCAGAATTGTATGATAGGGAGAGCACCTGGAGAGGTTATCTAACCCAACCACCTGCCCTGAGACAGGAGAGCTAAAACTAGGATAACTTGTTTAAACTAAAATGCAAGGAGGGAGGGAGGAGATTCTGCAACTGTGGGCAATTATTTGGCCATGTGTGAACAGAATGCTGAACTAGATTGGTCTGATCCAGCATGGTTGTTTTTATATTCTCTCTAGTATGGGGGGGGGGGCAATTCTCTTTGAAGACAAGAAAGACTATAATTGGAGCAACTGCTTTTATTTTTCATTATGTTTTCATTTCTGTTTTGGAGCCACTTAGAGAGCCATCTTGGCTAATGGGCAATGCAGAAAATCACTTTGCTTTCAATACATGTTTTAAGAATCATCAGTGGGTTCCCATTAGTGCTTTGTCATGTTTTAGGAGTCACTTAGCTTGGCTTGATATAACCAAAAAAAAAAAAGTCCACCAAAGGATCCAGTGAGAAAGGAGATTACTGTGTAAGATTAAGAAAGGTCTGTAAACACTTTTTAGAGAACTTCAGGGAGTGGGTAAGGTGCAGTACAAGGACCACACAGGCCAGCTGAAGGAAGATCTCAACTGACCTTTCTAAATACCTTCTCTCTCTAATTCCAGAACCTAAGTCTTGGTCTGAAATAGCATTTAGCTTCTCTGATACAACGTCTCCTTTCTAGCAAGACTCTAAAGGATATTGTTAATGTACACACACATGTTTGATGGGAGGGTTATAAATCATGGATCGGTTAATTAAAGGTTCTCTTTTCTAAGTCTAAAGTAGTGAATAATCAAGCTTTCAAGGATGGTTTCTATCAGTGGCCACCTTTCCAGTTACATTGCACAGTTGTGTGTCTTGAATGCTGAACTCATTCTCCTGATTTTTTAAAAAACTACACTGAAATTAGATTAAATATGCAAATCTTTCCTTCTAATCTTGCAAGGTCTTTGTTTTTCCTAGTCTGCAGATGAGGAATGCATATTGAGATGTACTGACATCTATAAAGACTCTATGAGATGACACTTAAGAGTTCATCACTGAAGTCATATCTAATTTAATATAAACAAAACTAATTACATAGGGCAGTATCCATTGTGACACTACTACCAACATAAATTATGTTACATCAGTGTAAATGACTTCTATTGCGATAACAATAGGACTTGCTGTCATGATGGGAAACCCATGGTGTCAGCAAGTGCTAGTAGTGCTGCGGTAGGAGCTATTTACACAAGTATAACATAATTTATGTTGGCAGTAGTGTTACACTGGATATTGCCCATACTCAGTGACCCATAGTGATATAGGAATGCTAAAGTCCCACCTGCTGCTTCTGCTGCTGCTTCTCTTCTGCTGCAGACCAGCATGGGGGCCACCTGCCCTCTCCCCCCAGCTCAGCCTCAGTTGTCATCACTGTTTGTGGGAGAAATGGCAGTGTTGTCGAGGAGGCAGGGGAGGAGAGAGACACTCCAAGAGGAGCCGCAGGGAGCCACACGGCACCAGGTATGCCTCTTGGGTGGGGCCTCGGAGAGCAGGCTGTTTGGGCTACCCTGTTGTATCATGGTGTACCCCATGTGGGGCTCTGGGGCTCTGTCGCTTTAGTTAACTGTACTGGTGGGTAGTTGGGTTTCATGTGTTTGAGAGATTATAGCTATATCCTATTATTACTGATATTATGTATTGTATTAGGTATTATATTGTATTATGTACTGATATTATGTATTGCTGATATTAGGATATATTATTGTATTTGTATGGAATATGTATTTTCTTGTTCTATTGTAAGCTGCCCAGAAAGCCCTATGGACTATGGGACAGTGTACAAATGTAATAATAATTATTATAGTAAAGCACTCCTTTCATTTTTTGCAGCAAAATCCTGATCATGAATGGGCCAATGCAGGTGCCAAATCAAAGCAGTGTTGTTTTTGTGTTGATTAAATCTCTTTGCTGTACATGCATTAAGTTTGTTGATGTTTCCTACCTTTCTCTGCTTGGTTATATAGGCTGCTGTAGTCGTGGTATTCAACTTTGCCATGGTGTTGTTAATTTTTCCTGCTATCTTGAGTATGGATTTGTACCGTCGTGAAGACCGGAGGCTGGATATATTCTGCTGCTTTACAAGGTGAGGTGGTAAGATTACTGCATAGACTGCATCATTTTAAATGGATGTTTTGCCATTGACTGCGTGGATTGTGCAAACATTCTTAGGGTAGAATCATGTGGCCACTTTCAGACTTCCTGTGCATCAAATGAGGAGTACGTTTTCCACTCCCACCGCAAGCAGTGTTATAATTGAACTTTTAAAGTTACCAAATGGTTTCTGTTTTCATTCCCAAGGATAAGCCTAGCTAGCCTCTTCCGTGCTGTTGTTTTTATTTTTCTCCTAGTCAGTGACACAAACTGTAACCTTTTGCGCATTTGCAGTTGAACAGAGGTTCACTTCCCAGTGCAAATACAGCTGCTAAAAGCCTTGTTTTAATCAGCAACAGGTTTGATTGCAATTAAATTTTGCTCTTAATAAAATTATGAGGAAGATAAAAAAATTTTCCAGTCTTTGGGGCTTTTGAAGAATCAGCTTATCAGCCCAAAACACACAGATGTGCTGACTCAGTCCTTGTACCACATTGATTGGGGAAGAATCCATCAATAAGTTTTTCTTTCCATTTCTGCTTGTGGATAGCACATGGATTGCTTTTCAGGATGCAATGATCATTTATTTCTTTTAAACAGTTAGGGCTGCTCCACATATAATACATTCCTATATGTACAAGCATTCTGTATGTGCTAAAATGTATGTTGTTGATAACTGATAGAGAAATGATTGATTAAATATAATTAATAATCTGCTATAACTTTATTTTTTGTATTTTATTTAATTGGTCTTTCATTTACTAAGCTTATTTTAAATAGTTTATTGATTAATTGTAAGTGTATTTTGATTATTGGTTATATTTTTACTACTATTTTTACATTATATATTGTTTTAAATGTATTATGCATATTATGCATTAAGTACCATTTTAATTGTTGCTGAAATATGTGTGAGCCGCCCAGAGAGCCTTATTGATAATGTAGATAATGGGGCAATGTACAAGGCAAATAAATAAATTAATATTTATTATATTTATATTTTTTATTTGTGTATATATGTATTTATTGGATTTTTGACTTCTATGCCGTCCAAAGATCGGCAAGGTATTGGATGGGGTAAAATGCTCAAACAAACAAACAAATAAATTTTCTGGTTATAATCACAGCGGCTCTAAATGCTTCCCCCACTCTTCTTTCAGTCCATGTGTCAGCAGAGTCATTCAGATCGAACCTCAGGCATATGCAGAAGCAGGTGACAACACACGCTACAGCCCTCCGCCTCCCTACAGCAGCCACAATTTTGCACATGAAACTCAAATCACGATGCAGTCCACAGTCCAGCTGCGCACTGAATATGACCCTCACACCCAAGTTTACTATACCACAGCAGAACCTCGTTCGGAAATATCAGTGCAGCCAGTCACCGTGACACAGGATAACCTCAGCTGCCAGAGTCCAGAAAGCACAAGTTCAACCAGGGATCTCCTTTCCCAGTTCTCAGAAACGACATTGCATTGCCTTGAGCCACCCTGTACTAAATGGACACTAGCCTCATTTGCTGAAAAACAGTATGCTCCATTCCTATTAAAACCAAAAGCAAAGGTAACACCTGTTTGTGTTGCAATATGAACACTGCATGCCTTACTCTTCTTTGAAGGTAGCTTGATTATCTCCATCATTGGTAGACCATTTACTTGTGGGGGCAGGGCCTTCTTAATGCATGGGCCTGATGGGCACTTGCCCGTGGGCCCCCTACTAATCTGTGTATGTTAACCCTTGGAAAATTGGAAAACTTCCCAAATTAGCAGTAGTTGTAGTTGTTGTAGGGGCCCCAGTACACTGCTTTGCCCGGGGCCCATAATGCTGTTAAGATGGCCCTGTGTGTGTGTGTGGGTGGGAGCATAATTGATGATCAGGGGAGATGAAAATGTATCTCTTTGAAGTTTCTCTAAATTCTTTGGCTATTTTGCTAAAGACTGAAGTTGACGGTTCAGGCTGGATTCATCCTCCATATATGCAGTTCCTTCCATAAAAGCCTCACAGTTCACTGTCTCTGCAAATATCTTCTGTAAGTGGTAGTTAAGATCTGGCACGTAAGATATTCAGCTGAGGCCTTGTGTCAAGCGCCATCCTGTCTGAAGGAGAGATTGGTCTCTATCAGAAGCAGAGCCATTTCTGTTGTGGCTCCACTGCTTTAAAATGCCTTTCCCTCTCAGCTGTCTTTTCTCTTCCAAAAAGCTATTCAGATGTTGACTAATCTAGGGCTCAATCGCATCTTGCATGCATCCCTTCAAACATGGAGGATTATCAGCATCCTATCAAGGACAAGTGGAATGCAGAGGTGAAGGACATCTCTCTGCTCCTCCCACCTTCCATCTCAGCTAGATGACTGATTCTGGAGCAGTGGGGAAGGAGGTTGAGAATACCTTGCATCTTAGTGGCACACGTCTCCTCTCCTCCCCACCTCTCAGACTGCCCCCTAAACCCCATCCCCAGTGTCAGTCCTGTAACCTTGAAGATGCAGCTGTTTCTTGCTATGCCAGCTGCAAGGGAAGGGAAAGGACGCTCTCAACACAGAGACCTACTCATGAGGTCAGAGTGATTTTCTGAGCTTCTGGCTGAATCTCTGAAAAATCCTATGAATAACTAGGTATTGTGCAGCAGCCGTAGAATTGTGCTGGTAATTGCTTTGGTTTTGTACAGATTACTTTGTTTTAATTAGCTTTATGTGTGCGGCCTCATCTTTCTTTAAACCATTTGGAAGTTCTTATGTAAAGTAGCACAGAACATTTTATAGGAAAGAAAGCCTGGTTTCCTCTAAAGCAGGGGTCCCCAACGTTTTTGGCAGCAGGGACTGGTTTCGTGGAAGACAATTTTTCCACAGAATTTTTCCAGGGGCGGGGGATGGATTTGGGATGATTCAAGCACATTACATTTATTGTGCACTTTATTTCTGTTATTATTACATTGTAATATACAGTGAAATCATTATTTAACTCACCATATTGCAGAATCAGTGGGAGCCTCCCCTTGACCTGTAGCCCAGCCCTTACCTTTTTTCCTGTTCCCTCAGTGCTTGCACGTGCACCCCCCCCCCCCCGGCTTTTCTACGCCGTGTGCCACTCGGCTCTGCTGCCACCACCACTACTCCCTCCTCCTTTCAAGGCCCAAGACCCAAAGGGGCCCTAATGATAATCTGTATTTCCAGATGAAGCTTCATCCACCGCTCACCTCCTGCTGCACGGCCCAGTTCCTAACAGAACACAGACTGGTACCGGTTCATGGCCTGGCAGTTGGGGTTCCCTGCTCTAAAGGATTAACAAATTAACCTCTGGCCACTCATGGCTGCACAGTTTTGCACTGTTTTCTTTATCTTTCTAATCACTGCTCTCTGTTCCCACCCTCAGCAACAGGTTGTGTGAGGTTGCACATGTGTCCCTTCAGATCTTCTCTAGTATACTTAGCAACTTTGGCATTTCTGCATGTAGAGCCATGGCCAGACTGATGCATGACTGCTGGAATCTTGTCCTGCTAGACTTCTTTGCTGAATTGTCCCATGAGGGAATCTTCCATTGCAGTGCTACTTACATCTGGCATATCCAGAGAAAACACAAAGTTTGTGTACCATTAATTTTGCTTATTGCATGAGCTGGTCTATGGAAGGGGACAGAGACCCAGTTTTCGTGCAGCAACAACCCAGGCGCAGTCACACCTGCTGCTGGCAGGAGAAGCTAAGCAGCCCAGGAATGTCCTATCCCTGGGTTGCTTATTGTGATATCAGGACCTGGAACTCTGGCTTGTCTTTCCTGTAATGCACATTAGAGAAGAGACTTGTGAAGAGACAAGGCTTGTGAAGCTGGGCTTGTGAAGAGAAGAGGCTTGTGAAGCCGGGGTTCCAGACATCCAGAGGGCTGCCATCTTCAAGCCATTCCCACAATCCACAGTTCACAATCGAACAATGAACCATGGGTTTTCTTCAAGCACTTTTGTGGTTAAATCATGCTTTGTTGGTGCTGGTAGATCCAAGTGGCACAATACCCCATTTTTCAACAGCAATTCATGGTTCAATGGCAACCTATACTCAGCCCTTAAGTGTGGGTTGTCATGTTGTCTGAACCCAGTCAATGAATGTATTGGCACTTCTGAGAGGAATTTACAGAAAATGAGAATCAAATAGCCAGCGCATAAGCAATGGGGACTGCATGCTCTGAGAAATAGTTCTGTGTGTCTCTTAATAACTTTTCAGGAAGATGCCACCTTAAGCAGTAGCACTGGATTCAGACAACCTGGGTTGTACTCCCCACTCAGCCATGGAGCCAACTGGGTGACTCTGGGTCAGTCACAGACTTTCAGCCCAACCTACCCCACAGGGTAGTTGTTATTGTAAGGCTAGGATTGAGAGCAGGAGGAAGTGTAAGCAACTTTGAGTTCTTTAAAAAAAGAAAAGAAAAAGGCAGGATATAAATCTAATAAATAAAAACAAAAATAAATAAATAAAGTCTTATTTATCATCATTATCACCATTATTATCATTTGCAGATTGTGGTCATTTTTCTTTTTCTGGGCTTACTTGGCCTCAGTCTTTATGGAACTACTCGTGTGAGAGATGGCCTGGATCTTACAGACATTGTGCCACGGGAAACACGGGAATATGACTTCATTGCAGCTCAATTCAAGTATTTCTCATTTTACCACATGTACGTGGTTACACAGAAAGCAGATTATCCCAACATCCAGCATTTACTTTACGAACTTCACAAAAGTTTTAGCAATGTGACATACGTTATGTTGGAAGAAAACAAACAGCTTCCCAAAATGTGGTTGCACTACTTTAGAGACTGGCTACAAGGTAACCAACACAGATGTACTTTTTTTATTTATTTCGTTCATCACAATTTTAGAATTCTTAACCATTTTCTTATGTTTTAATTATTGTGATTCCTTTCCACTGAAAATATAATTGCATGGCCTGTTGAAGTTGACACTCATACTGATTCCATATGAATTAGCCATTTATTTGTTTTGGGTAAAATGCTATGCATCCTTTGGACAAAATCCTACTACTCCCAGCATTTCCCAGCCTTGATGGGAGTTTGTAAGGTTGCTCTGTCGAAATATGTATAGGATTGGTCCCAATGTTGCCTGGATTTATAGCTTGTCATAGTCCAAGGGTTCAGGACAAGTTATGCTGAATATGCATGTTAAAAATATAAAACATTCCCCTAGTCTTTTAATGTACTTGAATGGTGTTTTAAGCAAACGCTGTACAGGAAGGAGAGAGAGATATTTTTCCACTTCCTAAGTTTGTCTTATTCCAAGTACCCTCAGCAACCGAAGTTTTCTTAACGGGTACTTTGAAGCCTTGCAGATGGTATTAGAATAACTAAAAGTCAATAGTTGCTCTGTGCTTCTGGCCAGGTGCTGGAGGTCTGAATGTGCCATGTTTGGCAGGCACGCTCCATTCACTGCTTTTGTTCTGAATCTGCTTGGCTGAAAGAGTGAGGGGTTTTTTTATTTTATCTTTCTACATGGGGGGCAAAGTTTAAAGGAAATGGAGGAAGGGTCTGTGAATGCAAACGAGCATCCAGAGCCTCAGGCTGTGTCATTTAGGCCATGTTTTTTCTCCCAGCACTCTTATCTCTTTATAGCTGTAGCTAACCTATCAGATGTGTAATGATGGTTTTGATTACAGCCTCTCAGTGCAGCTGTGAGGTGGGTCAGTATATTCTCCCCCCCCCCCCCCCCCCCTGCCTTTCCTCCTCTCTCCTGCTTCCCTTCCCTTTAGATATGCGGGCCGTTCATCCGTGCTCAGACGGCCTCCTTGTGCTGGGCTGTGGCTTCCTGTTCTAAATCTGATCCAAATTTGTGCTGTGAGGTATTTTTGCCCACCCTCCCTCTTGCGAGGGGTGGCAAAGAGGAAAATAACAGTTGAGAGTGAATAGGTGTTGGCTGTGATCTTTACACGTGCTGGCAGCAGATCCCACAACTTGTATTAGCTACACAAGTTGAACAGATGGAACAAATTGACAAAATCGTGTTCGCTCACGCTGTGCTCAAGAAGGAGCTGAGTTGTTGTTTGAAGTTTGGAAGTGGGAGTGTGGGTTTCTTTTTCCTCCGGCTTTGCGGTGGAATTTCTGGTCATGTTGTCATGTAACCTATGGCTTCAGCACCTAGCAGTAGCTGAAACAACAGAGTGCTGGGTGTCTCCTCTCAAGGTGTCATTCATTTTCAGCCTGTGAGTGAGTCCACCTTTATTTCAGAGCATGGCCTGAATCCTTCCAGGCTCTTTCCAGAAGTCTGTGGGCATCATCTACCAGAAGCATCTTTCACATAGTTCCATTAATTGCAGTAGTGGTTTTGTTGGAGAAATTGGTGGGTTGTGTGCAACCAAAAAAAGCTACAGATGAGCAGAGTACCATTGTTCAGCCATGCAACCTGGAGAGAACCTTAAATATGCATAGGGATGGCACCTGCTGAATATTTTATCTGGGGTTTTGTGTGCATGTTCAGTACTGAGCTGAGATTCGTTGAGAGATTTTTCATACTCCTCCCACCTTCTTCCTTTTGCTTTTGCTTTTAAAAGGGTGAACTTGCTGCAATTGTATTCCATGTATATGATGACTGCACTATCACTCTGAAGCGTATTCAAAGTCATAATGCATTCCTTACTCAGAGGGAGTACATTCTTTTCCTGGAGTTTTTTTTTCTTTTTTTAATTACTTGACTCTCAGCACTTCCTGTCAAAGCCTTGTGGGAGTCAGAGCGGTGTTTCTTCCCATGTGTTCCCTCCTTCTCTCTACAACCTGCGACACAACTCCTGCTCTGCTTACCTGATTTATAGCATGGTTCATGGAGTTTTCACTTAAGTATTTTGTGCAGTAGGAGGTTTCTTACCAAAGGGCCAGGTGAAGCTTAAAAGTGTTCCCCCACCTCCTTCCATGCATAAGCATGAATGTCTGAATGCACAGCCATATAAGTCATGCAAAACACAATACACATGTGGACATCCTGCTCTTTCACCCCCCCCCCCCAGATAGAAGCCATGTGTTCAGCCACACACAGTCATATTATGATGTCAGGATGTTTTCACGTGTGGTGGAGTTTAGCTAAGTGGGCGTGGGAGGACTGGGCCAGTTCTGAGGCAGCAGGAGGACTGTCTGGAACTCCAACCTGGCTGTCTTCCATAGACTAGCTGGAAAGCGGGAAAGGCAGGCTCTGCGAGCTCTGGAGTTCTGGGAGGCCGGTGTCTCGGACCTGTGGCATCCTCCCAAACATCTGCTTGGGAGGCAGGTGATAGTACTCCAGCCAGCTCTGCTTGTTCCAAGGCTATAGGGAGGAGACAGGAGTGGACAGATGGAAGAGTCAGAAAGCACTCTAGAAAAGTGGTGGTGATGCTGCACTTAGCTTGTCAGCACCTACTTGAGGGCTAAAAATGGTAAAGTCCTATGACCTTTGTATTAAGTTATTAAAGGAAATCTCTGCTTTTCTTCCTCTCTATTTACAAGCTGTGCCCTTAAAAAAAAACAGAATAAGAAACCTGTCCTCTCATCTTCCAACAGGGCTTCAAGAGGCTTTTGACAGTGACTGGAAATCTGGGAAGATCACACTCAACAATTACAAAAATGGATCTGCAGATGCTGTTCTAGCATACAAACTTTTAGTTCAATCTATTTCAGGCATTCGGGATAAACCTGTTAATATTAGCCAGGTACTTTAAAAATATTATTATATCTCTGTTTAAAGGGAATGATGCAGATAAGTATTTACAGTGGTACCTTGGCTCACAAACACTTTGGGTCACGAATGCCTTGGGTCACGAACAAAAATTTCATGAAAATTTTGACTTGGGTCATGAATCCGCTTTGGGTGGTGACCAAGATTGCAGCCATCTCCCCGGTCACCACCCCAAGTGGGAAGATGGCCAGGATCGCAGTCGCGTTCGTGCAGGGAACACGTGCGTGATCAGGACTGTGCTGTGCTGCGCCCGTCTTTCCTGCAGGAGTGCGCCCGTGGTCACGTGCATCTTCCCTGCACGAACACGACTGTGATTCTGTCCATCTCCGCACTTGGGGGGGGGGGATGGCCGCGATCGTGCTGGTGGTGGGGGGATGGCCAAGATTGCACCCATCTTTCCTGCAGGAGCACGCCCATGCCAGGGTTTCTTTGAGAAGCACCACCCCAACATAAATGAACAGAGTATTGAATCTGATGAACAATAACGTGGTCTCTCATTTCTGGAGGGTTATGCAGGGCAGGAAAAAACAAGTGACTATAGACAGATTTTTCACCAAAATTGACCCTGCAGCTAAGAGACAAAGAGAGGAAACCCCTGAAAGAGATCTCCCCAATGTCCTTATGGAGGGGGACTCTCCCTCAAAACAACAATCTCCCCACCACCTAGGTTAGTGTTCTCCACTGTACTGTACAGTACTTTGTTACTTTGTTGTTCTTTGTCACTTAGTTTCACAATTTCTGATAAAAAGTTACAGAATGAATTAACCTTATTTACACTGAACTTTATGAGGAAATTTTACTTGGCTCGCGACCAAAAATTGGCTCACAACCACATTTGGAGGGGCCAGAACGGATTAACCTTATTCACATTGAATCTTATGGGGAAATTTGACTTGGGTCACAACCAATTTGGGTCACAACCAGAGTCGTGGAATGGATTAAGTTTGTGAGCCAAGGTACCACTGTGTTTGTTTTTTATTGTTAATGTGGGTTAATTAACTTAAAGGTAATGTGGGTGGTTGATACAATTGCTTTTAAGTGCCCCCTGTTACTTGTGCAAGTCCATGCATCTCCCTGGTAAACCAGAGTGTTGTAGACAGTGATGCAGAAGGAATGATTACTTGGATAATGGTGTCAGGAAATGCTACCATGCAGTAGGAAGAGCACATTTAAAGGTGATAGTCCCTGACAGCTGTGCCACCACTGCATCTGTGTCATGCTGCCCACAGAAGCTGACCTTAAGGCTTTTTTCCACCTGGCCATAGCATTGAACCTATTGAATCTGTGGTGGCCAGGATTAATATGTTTTCCAGGCAGATTACAGTTAAAATCACTTGTATCTCCTGCCAACTGGATGCCATATTAAGTATTGATTCATGCATCTACCCATTGATCAGGGTTGCTAGCCCGAGTTCCAGCTGAGATCAGATGAGTGTGCAGACAGAAGCTTTGGGAATGTTTCTGGCTGCTGCCAAATACACATTTGTGAACTTGGCTCATTCCCTTCCTGGCTGTTTCTTTCCAACCAACTTACATTCACTGGCTTGATCATGGGCTCACCAGTACATTTCTTGGGTAGGGGGCTGCCTGCTGCCTTCTTGAAGGTAACAACTGTGAGCTCTGTCCAAGAAAGCATCTGTATATGCTCTCAGCCTGAATTGTTACTGGCAAGTATCCAGTATACCTGTTCTTGGCAAAACAGGTGATTGCTGTAGAGTCCTAGGAACTTATGGATGAAATGCATTATTTGCACACCTGTCACTGTGGTAAAAGACCTGGCTGGGAAGTATACATTAAGTTGGCTGCCTACACCAGTAAACAGACCCTGCAGATTTTGCCAGTATTTCTGTGGTTTAAATGCCGTGGTGACGCTCTGGACACACAGCAACATTTGTGGCTAGGTCAAGAGCTGGAGACACCCAGTTGAAGGGGCTCTGCTCCTACCTACCGGGAAGGTCCCAACCAGCTTTGCTCCAGGGGGCTTATGGTGTAGGGTTCTGCAGGAGTATGTCCACTACACAGTGCTAACACTAGGATTGTGAAGGCCCTGAAATAAAATAACCTTGGAGCCCCCACTTCCTCAGTCTGCCTTCTCACACCATTGTCAGCAGCTGCAGTGGCTCCTCTTTTCTAATCATTGCTATTGCTTGCTTGCCAGAACTACCTGGAGCCTGTACACCGTGGCATGCCCTGCCCCTCCTTCTCAGACAGAGCAAGCGGCAGGTGAACAAGCAGGCTGCAGCGAAGAGGAGGAGGAGGCGGCTCTCTAGGTGGCTTTTCTGGGTGGGCCTCAGCTGGGTTGTGGGTCCCTGGAAAGTTGCCAGCCATCCCTGTGCTGAAAAATGCTACATCAAGATCATGAAAAGCCGCTGTACTTGCAAGGTTTTCACAGAGGTTTTCTTGTGGTTTATATGGTCTGCTGTTATGTAGGAGCACTAGAAAGGTGTTTATTCTGAACATCCCCTTATGCAAAGAGTGGGCTCTATGTGGCCCGCCCCCATTGTTTAAAAGATGCCCAATAGGGCCACAGTTAGCTCTTTGGCCTATTTTTTGCCTTTTTGATGCTCTGTAGCCACTGTGGATGCCATTAAACAAAGCGTCCACGGCACATGTGGTACAACCCAGGGGGTGTGGAGATGGAGATGGAGACGCATGGTGTCTGGATCCCATGCATGTCTGAATGTTAAGTCAATGATGTTTCTGTGTTCTGGCATTGGGTGGTTTGGTCATATATTTGGAGGGTCTTATTTCTATTTTGGGGAAATAGGTAGAGGCAAATAACATTAAACTAATTCTCATTTAGGTAATTTGAGGAAACTGGTTTTCCTTACCTTGAATTATCTCCTTGTTGGAGCAGAAGCCAAGGGTTCAGAGGAGTGCATTAGGCTTCCGACATTTCACTGGCATATCTTTCTATGAAATGGTAGTTGAACTGCAAAGTTCTGTCTCATTCCACCCATTTTAACCCCCCCCTTCCCCCAAATGACTGATTGTTTTATTGTGTGCCCACAACACTTTCCCAAGAATGTAAATGTGACCAGGGGTTGGAGACCTCTGGTCTACATGTAGAAAAACCCTTAAGGCATTCAGAATTCTTTAAAAGGAAATGTATAATTCTTAACTCCACCTCCAAATTTATTAGAAAATAATAATTTTCCAAAGGACCAAACTCAAAGCAAGATTTAGGGTACAATTCTGTGTCAGGTTGGACAGGGAAAAATCCTTACCTCCCAGCATTCCCCAGGCAGCAACATGAATAGGACCAATCCCTTGGAATGAATAAGGATAGTCTCAACATGAATAAGACCAATCCCTTGGAATACTTTGAACGAAGTCAAATCAGGTCTAGAAAATCCCATTATGTCTTAGTACAACATGTTGCCAGGTATGGTCACCTTCATCAAGAGAAGCAAAAACTATAATCAGGTGCCCCAATTGATGTATTTAAATTTTTGGCTGTAAACACCAAGTGCACCATGGAACAAATATTACTGGCCCATGGTTCTCTCTGCCTGGGAGGCACAGATGCCTGCTGCTGAGCCCACAGGGTCTTCAAGCTGTGCTCTGCAGTTCCAAAGACAATTTGAAGACATACAGTTGTTGCATATCCTGTGGATTAATTGAATCCAGATTTCTAGATTCCAGCTTTTTTTTTAAAGACTGCTGTCACTGTTGTTTTTCACATAATTAGAAAGACCAGAAAATGAGAGCTGGGGGAGAATGAAAAATAAACAAAAGAAAACAAAAATCTGTAGTGGCAGTCGTGTTTTTCCTTCATGGCGTCTTCTGTACATTACTCCAGTTGTATGGCAAGACTGTCTTTGTTCCAAAATCATAGAATATCTGATTCAGACTCACCAAATTCATTTGCCCACGTGACCTCAGCAAGAGTGCGCTCATCTGGTTTTTGGTGCTGGGCATTTTCTGAATACATAGGTCATAGGAGGCAAGTGTTAGCAAAATTTATACAGATGTTGTTTTATTTTTATAGCTCTCCTCCATTTACTGGGTGGCATTTCCTTCAGTGTTAACAACAGAGGTTAACTGCACACAGACGTCTATAGGACTCTTGCCAGATTCTTTTTCTTCCCTTCCCACCCCCATTCCTTTAAAAAAAAAAAAAAACCTTTAAGTATGTTTCTCCAACTTGGTTGCTTTCCCTTCTTGGCTGCAGACAGCTTTTTAGAATTCAGATTTAATTGGCTTGGTCTTCATCTGGAACCTTTTGCTGATTTTAATGTTTTCTAATATATTGCATGCAAGGCATTTCATGCAACACAAAACAGTTTGAAACGTTTGAATATGAAAAATGTTTTTTCCCATATGATCAACATTCATCTTGTCTGTGGTGTTCCTATTAAGCAAAAAGTCTTCCCCACAAGCTGTGACTCAGTTTTACATGCTGTTGTGTGGTGCGTTCCAGCCATTCTCTGTGCCTTACCAGAGCAGGAATCTAAAGTCAGCCTTCATTCTGAAAGACTTCTTTCCTTTTTGCAGTTGGCTAAACAACGGCTGGTGGATGCGGATGGAATCATTAACCCCAAGGCTTTCTACATCTACTTGACAGCCTGGGTTAGCAATGACCCTGTGGCTTACGCTGCCTCTCAAGCCAACATCCGGCCCCATCGTCCAGAATGGGTCCACGATAAAGCAGACTATATGCCAGTAACCAGTAAGGAACATTTCACTTTAATGTCTTACGGTTTATATAAGTGCCTCAGCTCTTCTCTTGAGGCCCAGCAGCTCTTCAGTCAGTTGACAATGAACAGGACTCAGACCATAAACAGAACAATATATTGTGTTACTTTGCAAAAACTCAGGAGACAGATGTGGTTGTGTAATGTAGTAGAAGAATGCCGTACCTCGGTAGCTGTTCATCATTTTGAAAAATGAATTCTTTCATAGTTTATATCAGAGATCTGAAGTTTGCATTAGGCATTTCATTTTAATGTGGCACACTCATTTTATACGTAAGGGAAGCCTTCAGTTCCCATGATGTGTTTGCTGCCTTTGCAAATGCAGAGGGGCTTTTTTAATCATTGGGAATTATATCATGTTTATTATAAATCTGCCAGCCCAGCAAGCAAAGAATTTCTGGCAAATTAGGTCATTCTCCAACACCTGTGTTGTGCTGAAGTTGTTTAGGTGGGAAAGAGATTTGTATAAAAGAGTATCCTCTTTCCTTGCAGTCTTTGCTCGAGTCCCCTGCTTGCATTCTAAATGACAATACCACTTTGATTTTATTTGCTTTTCCACTGAATTTATTGGGTGGGCTGCTTGTTGGTTATTGGGAAGTAGGAGAAAAGAGGACTGCTGTTCTTGGCAATACAACTGGATAGCAAGTAAATTGTGCCTCGCTGTATCCGAATCCTAAAGCTCTCGGGCACACAGCCAAGTCTTGTCTTAATGAAAATTTATAGTTGAGATTATAATAGGGCAAATCATGTTTAGCAAGTCAGCTGAATGACCCTACAGGGTCTGGAACACACAGCAGCAAAAGCAGGAACTAAATGCTATTGGGGAAAAGGTTTTTTTTTTTTTTTTTAACAGATGGGGTGGAAATGGGTTGCCTAGTAGACTTAGCATTGCTTTCAAAAAGGAGAGCATGAAAAATGTGGGTGTGTCATGCCATTAAAGGATAAAAATGATGCAGTTCCTGAATCAGCCAACTGAAGTAGTTAATCTTTCTTTGATTGACTGGAACATGCTTTAAAGCTCATTTTCCATAACCAGGGAAAATGCAACAAATGTACTGGCCAGCTTTATCTTTCAAAGTATTTCACTGATTATGAATGCTGGCCCTGACTCACTGCTTCGTTTCATGTTGTTGGAATTCGAACACTATCAGCTGTGCAATGAGTACAGAGGTATTCCCCATACAGCAAGTTAGTGCAGAAGTACCTGAGGTTTCTTCATTCTCTCTCTAGTCTAGAGTTTAGATCCATCCATTTTAATCTCCAGGGGCTGGCAACTTGTTGTTCTGGCTGGGTTTATACAGACTCCTACTGACAAATGCTAGCCTAGTGGATGCAGTGGAGTGGATATATGAAATCTTTTTTTATACAGCAGTGGTTGAGTCTCATAAGTTGCAGGCTGAAAATAGCTGTAACATACGTCAACTGCCTTGACAGTTCTAAGCTGAAATAATATAGTTCACAATAGGCTATAATGCATTGTGCATTTCTCCCATGTTAACCGTAGACATTCAAGATACTGGGCGGTGTGGAAGAGGGTGGGAATCATATAATAATAATAATAATAATAATAATAATAATAATAATAATAATAATATAGGGTGGTTCACAAATCATGATAAGCTACCTCAGGGCCATGCACTCATTGTTGTTTAACCCTCAAATAACTTAAAACACCTGAGTTTGCACAAGTCTCTATGTGTCCACATGTGCTGAAATGGAAGCCACAACTTGCTTATGTCAGAATGGTGCAGCTCAGAACCCTGAGGGTTTATTAACCATGAGTTGTTCAGTTTAATGTGTGAACCAGCCCAAAGTGTGTGAGTATGTGTGTATGTGCACTGCCATCTGTCAGCAGCACAGCACCATTAAACCAAGACACTTGGAAGTTGAGATGCATGTAAAGGGAACTGAGGGAGTATACTCCTCTGAATTTTTTTGCTTTTAAATTCATTAATTAATGTTAATGTACCCATGTGGTAGAAGTCTTCAGCAACATTCGCAGCCACTAGGAGCACTCTATAGGTCACTTATAATTGTATAGTTCGCACGATGATGATGATCCTTGTCAAACCTTACACTCAGTAAGTGCTCTTGGATGCACCCACAAAAGCTTGTGTGAGGATAAATCTGTTCATATTCAAAATGTCACAGGACTCCTTTGTTTTCCTGCATACTAATAGCTACCCTTCTGAAAGTTTTTAAGCAGTACAATAATATAAAAACATTATGTGTTATAAAAGGCTACTCCTGGAAGATTCAGCATGAACTGGGACAAGAAAGACATTCCAAATAGAAGGATTAGTAGTTTTAGGAATCCTGCTATTTCCCATTAGGCTGTTATTTTGGTTTTCTTTGTAATTTCCAATACATAGCATGATATTACTGCAGTGGGAAGGCTTGTCTGTATGAAGTCTGATATGCACCACTCCTCTTTATGCTATAGTGGACTGTTGTGCTGCATTTCACTGGTATATCTGAATAGCTGTCTGATGAAAATTATGGCACTTATTTAGCACAGGAAGCTAAAATACTGCCGTTACCTCTGTTTCACTTTGTATTCAGACACATAAACTCATGCAACATCATTATTGTTATTTTCTCCCCAGTCCCAGAAGCTGAGCCTATTGAATATGCTCAGTTTCCTTTCTACCTCAATGGATTGCGTGATACTTCTGACTTTGTGGAAGCTATTGAGAAAGTTAGAGCAATCTGCGATAACTACACCAGTCTTGGGGTTCCCAGTTACCCAAATGGATACCCATTCCTCTTTTGGGAACAATATATTGGCCTTCGTCATTGGCTCCTCTTGTCTATTAGCGTGGTTCTAGCCTGCACATTTCTGGTGTGTGCCCTCTTCCTTCTGAATCCCTGGACGGCTGGGATCATTGTAAGTCTTTGTTGAAGTTAAATTCCTTTCAACATAGCTCTTGCTACAGTCGGGAAGGTTTTGTTTATGTCTAGGCTACTGATGGAGTATGCATATTGCATCATTCATGATATATTTATTCAACTTGAGGGGGTAGGGTTCATGGTAAAGGTATAAGCTTTGCTAACCTTAATCCTTGGTCTACTCTGTTAGCTGCAGTTTCAAAATAAAAAATAAAGATGTCTAAACTTTTGCCCTCATTCTTGTAACTAGAAGAAAAATGAAGGAATGCTTTAATGTCTTTAATAAAAATTATTATTATAAGCCAAATAAGTTTACGAGTTTTTAAAATTTTGATTTCTTTAGAGGGAGGAGTATGAACTGTCCATAAACAGTTCATTGAGTTCTATCCAGTATTAGCCTAGCTTAAATCCTTTCATTTTAATGAGTCCCCTTCACTTAGAACTAACTTTGGATATAACCCATTGTTCGTTGTGTTCTGGAAATGACCCCAGCTCTGTTTACTTGAGAAATAAGTCTCATGACTCTACAAAAGTGGCTTAAAAGTCATTGCTCTGTTCTGTACAATTTTTTCGCATGTGCATCCCAATGTCCTAGGCAAATGGTTGCTTCCCAAAGTGAGCTCCTCCTTTGGAGATACTTTACTTGTTGACTCCTGGAGGTGCTCATTGCTTAAGCATAACATGTATGCAAATTCTCAGAGCCCCAGCAGTGTAAAAAATTGCCATTTTGGCAACACCCTAAGCAATATTAGGATTGGGTGGGAGAGGAGAGAGAACACAGGGCTGTAGGGTATAGCAGAAATAAAATGATGAATATAAATTGTATAGACTAGGTTTTTTATATGTTCCAGGAAGCACTGGACATCTTTCAGTACACAAGCACTCTTTTCAAATGGAATGTTAATGTTATTCTACCTAAAATTTACGAACTTCTCTCTAGCTTATAAAACGGTAGAAGTAGAAAGCAATTACCAGGTTTGGGGCGTATAGAATGTACAGCAGGTACGTTAAAAGGTAAATGTTTAGTCTAGAACAGCTTTCAAAAGACATAGACTATATATGTTATCATTCATGAATGGTTAATTTGTAATTTATTGTAGGCCTACAGGAGTGGGGTTTGCTTACAGAAAAGGATTTTGCTGTTTTAACAGTCTTCAGGCTTTCTTCTTTTTGTAATTCTCTCTGTTTTGGTTCCTATTGCATGTTCCCTCTCCTGCCTTGATTTTTTTTAAAAGATAGATAAATAAAGCTCCTTTCCTTAACTTTTACTGTCTGGTTTGCTCCTGTTAATCCCCCCAAGTTCTTCAAAGCTAAGGGGCCCTTTGTAACCTGACCACCATCAGCTGATTACAGCATTCTGTGTACTGACTAGTCAGGAGTCATCTACACTTAGTCTATAATTTTCTCAAGACTGGGAAAGAAGAAAGCTCGATTCCTGTATCTTTCCTTGGATTAATCACTATTCTCTGAGTATATTAAGTGAACATGGAATGTTGCCAGAAAGCAGAGATTAGCCAACCAGATTTCAGATTGTATGTCCAAATTATAATCAAAACAGAAATAAATACATTGGACAGTAACCAGTGAAGTGCTACGACTACATAATTTATCTTAGCAGTTGAACCAAGCTGTTGGATACTACCCTTAGGTTAACACTTGCTTTAGAGGAAGTAATTACACTGGGATCGCTAAAGAATGTAGATCAGCCTTCCCTAATTTAGTGCCTTTTTTACTTCAGTGCCCATCAGCCCCTACCACCATAGCCAATGGTCAGGAATACTGGAAGTAAAAATAGCAACTAATGCTTATTGGGGATGATTCTTAGCTTGCTTAAGTCAGCAAATTATAAGAATAAAGAAAACCCCTAGAATAGAGAAAGAACAAAGAAAATCCTTTTGCATTTTCTCGCTCTATGGGGTAAGTTGCTAACTACTGTTTGACTCCCATAGGTGGTGGTGCTGGCTCTGATGACGGTGGAGCTCTTTGGCATGATGGGCCTGATTGGAATAAAGCTGAGCGCAGTGCCTGTAGTCATCCTGATTGCTTCTGTTGGAATTGGAGTGGAGTTCACCGTTCATATTGCCCTGGTAGGTGGAATCCAGGCAGTGCTTTTTAGTAACAGGAACACTGGAAAAAATGAGCTGCTTGTTGCATCTGCTTGGTTTAATTTCCTTAGAACTGTGTAACTTCAGAATGCAAACGAATGAGGAAGGGTCTCATGTTGAAATACTCATGCCAGAAATATCTTAGATTTTGAAAGCTTGCACTGGTAGAAGAAGGTTACTCCATATTCTTCTCCGTGTATTCCCATCTTCAACATTAAGGACAACTTTGAAATGAGGAAATGAAGCATTTCAGCATGCATGTCCAACATGTTTCTGCAATACTGCTGTCACAGCCTGATTGTATATTTTACTTGTTGCCAAGTATTTGTGTTGCTCAAGAATTTGCATTACACAGTATTAATGATACATCTTTCATCAGAAAAAATCCTTACCAGTTGGAAGCAACCCCCAAATAAAAGTACTTTTAGGGCTCAATCCTATGTACATTTGGACAGAAAAGTCCTGCAATGCCAAGCTAGCATGGAGTTACAGGGTTTGGGGGGCTTTTTGCCTAAGCTTACATAAGATTGCTCCCCTTCATCTGAGAACAGGTATATTTATCATGGTCATGCCTATTATTTTGTACTAGTTGGAACTGATACATAGAGTGCCTTTCACTCAAATGTGTGTCTCCATAGCTAGTGCTTAAATGTCTAACATTGGGAAGGGGGCTTTCAGTTAGCTTGTTATGGATCCTAAAATCCCCCTTCTTGCAAGTTAAATTTTCTGAAAGATTACCAAAGCAACGTCTTCTCTATATTCTAATTAGTGCATTAATGGTATATATGAGAGATAGTGCCAGCAGCTGGGTTTAAGCTGCGTGGCTTTTTTCCTCCTCTGGGGAAAAGCAAGAATCCCTGTCAGCTGTATGCACTAACTTGACTGCATGGACACCATTTTTTTCCAGGCATTTTTGACTGCAATAGGAGACAAGAATCGCAGGGCTGTCCTGGCGTTAGAGCACATGTTTGCGCCTGTATTGGATGGAGCTGTGTCTACGCTGCTTGGTGTATTAATGCTTGCAGGATCTGAGTTTGACTTTATTGTCAGGTAAACCACATGCATATTCCACGACTCCCCACAATTTATCAGACTAGTGCAAACTGCCTATGATTGCATACTCAGAATTGGGGTTAAGAAAATTTCTATTACAAAGTGCTACTTTGGGATACCTTAGTGAGTTTGGGTTGTGAAAATATCCACTAAGGGAGATTTTTTTCACAGGAACATGCTTGTGTATTCTCATTGACCTTCTGTGTTGTGATATTTTGCATTATGTGCTGTGCTTGCGTGTTTCATGATTCTACTTTCACTCTGCTTTTTAAACTGCTGGTTTAAATTTTAGTAGCTGTTCCCACTTACATAGCAAGCTCTGGATTTAGTTCTTGAAAAATCGGATTCCCTCTCAGAAAAATTCTTGTGCAGCTTCTAGTTTGCTCAATAGCAAAATTAAGTTAGTCCCAAAGAGCCAATATTGTCCAGTGGTTAGCTGGAGGTGACCTTTAACCTAACCACTCTTTGAAACTATTTACATGCAGAGTACTTGGAGTGGAGCAGCCTGAAAATCTATAAACATCCTGAAACTGAAACTCTCCTCCTCCCCCCTTCCTCCCCCACCAATCCCACCCTTGTTTGAAGCTTATGGAAAACTTCGGCAGACCAAAATAAAAAGTCCAGTGTAAAATGTGGGCAGGCAGGCACCTACAACATCACTGAATGTAACTTAAAATCCATAAAATAAAGTCCAAAGGCCTTTCTGTCTGAAGCTAAAGGGAGCCTGTTTTCTTGCATATTTAGCTAAGAATGTGCATCCGGCAGAATCAGAAGGGAACTTGAGAGGAGTGGTGAAATGGATCTTGTTTTCCTTCTAACAAGGAAGGAATCTTGTTTTCCTTCTAACAAGAGATGCTGCAAGGAAAAGCAGCCACCTCTCTGTTTGCCACGCAAACCTGCCAAATAAAAGAACTTGATAGTGGGAGCCCCAAATTAGAATGTACTCTTCAGATTGACATGGTCTAGGCTGACAAATGAAAAACAGTAAACATCAATATAAAACCTAAAGCCTCTACTGTTAGTAAGGAGGAGTAGAATAGCATTGGGGAAACTTATATTAGTCTCTCAAGATGTCATGAAATCATATGCTCTTTCTGCATTCACTCCAATATAGAAGCTAGTTGTCAACTGGTTCTGCTGCAATCCACCAGTGCATTCTTTTTCTCACACTCCCGTCTTCATTAATAAATCTGCACAGCACTTCTTCCTTAGGCCTTTACATAAAATCCCCACCCACTTCCAAAAAAGCACTTCCCGTGTGAGGTAACCAGTAACTAGATATACAACAGTCGAGGGCACAAATGCAGCAGTGGGGACACTCTGAATATACTGATAAGGTGGGAAACCATATAGTACTGATAAGGTGTACTGATAAGGTAGCCACCGAAAAGTCATGTCAGTTATTTATGCCGACAGCCAATGACACACACTCACTCATACATACACACACACTTGGATCGAGAGAGTTGTATGCAGAATCTTACTAATGGAACAGGGTCCTCTTGGGTCTCTGCTCCCTACTCTTCTGCTCAGTCCCACGGCACTTGTACCCTCTGAAAATCTGCCCCTCAGAGTTGTAGGACCCTCTGGAGCAGCATGAAAAGTGGTGCATGATGGTCCAGCATATATTGCCACTTACCCCTTCCACAAGCAGAAACCAAAAGTGATCCAAAGGTGGATCCAACACACTGTACGATGGGGGAGAGGAGGGGAGAGGAGAGGAGGCATAATGGAGTGAGTACTGGGAAGCCCATACTTAATAGTGAGATAGCTGCATCAGGTGGCAATGAATGCAACAACTTGCCAGTGGCCTGGTAGATTTCAGGTACTGTCTGCTTAGTCAACAAGTATTGTCTGTATACACCATTTTCCCTCAGAAATTAAATGTGTGCTTTAAAAATAGCGGAATGGGTATTTCAGCACTTCAGTACATTGGCTGCATGCTCCCAGCCATCTCATTTTGTGATACACTTTGGGCCTAGTTCCTCTGTTTTTTCAAAGATGGCTCTCAAGTAAATGAGCAAAGCTGGAGCATTTTTCCGAGAGCTGATGGAGGCCCCAAACCTTTGGCAAGAACTAGGTGTTTAGCCCAACAGCACATCTGGGTAGAAGTTTTGTATACGCAAAGTGGTCAGATTTATAATCAGTCTGTTTATTCTTGAGCTAGACTGATGAGATGCAAATGTCTCCAGCGCTTCTTGTTGATGGCATTTCCCAGTATAAAGCTGTCTTAGTTTACATTAGTGTAAGAGATTAGTTTGTTGATTCCACGCACCCCTCCCCGCCGGCTTCTGCTAATGCAGACCAGAAATTCCCAGATGTAATCCTCAGTGATAGTTGTAGCTATCCATGTTGATAGATTTGATCAGATGAGTGCTTCCTGTTTAAACCACGTAGCCAGCAGTGACATGGCATCTTCCCCTTCTGCCCCTTTCACCTTCAAACTATTGCCTAAGACCCAAAGTCCCCAAATCCATTAGCTCCAAAATGGGTCTTTGAGCTTTACCTCTCTGCCCGCTGCTGCCCTCCCGCAGATACCTTCAACTCAGGCTTTCCTCTCGCGGCTGGTTTGCCATCTGATTCATGAAGGATACCAGACCTTAGCCCTCAATGGTGGGAAAGGACAACCACTTGTGCACTCTCTTCTTCTTCCATAGTCCTCCAGCCTTTATGTTTGAATTGGCTGACACAAAACAAGAGCATTCAGAGATGCTAAATTGTTCCACAAAAGATTAGCCTGCAATGCAGCTCTGCTATTGTAAAGTGCTCTTCCTCACCACAATGCTCAGGCTTACCACAGAATGGCCTGCATTTTCTTTGCAAAAAGCTGGTTCCTGTGTCTAAAAAGGTTGCAATTTGAGCTATTTGGTCAAACTGGAACTCACAGAATTCAAGGCGGAAAGTTGGGATTAATGAATGGCAAGGGAAAGCCTTACCTGATACACTAGAGATTTAATTAGAGATTCTGCTGTTAGGCGCAGAAGCATTTCACAGTGGATTAGCTGCTGGCAGAAGTGGGCTTCTTTTTCCTTCGAGACTAAATTGTTTAAATTCTACACCCTTCACTTCATTTGTTTGCTTCTGCTGGGTTTTCGCTAATGGGGGCCCCTTTTCATTGTATTTGTGCTTTCAATCTGTTCAGTCATTCAGTTCACATTCCATATTTTTGTGTTTGTGTAACACATTCATAAATAACATTACATGCTGGAAGATTTTGGTAAATTAACAAGCTTTTTTTCCCTTTCTTTTTTTTTGAACTAACACTTTGGGTTATGGAATGTAGCTCCTCTAATCCAAAAGGTAAAAAAAAATGCATGCTGACTTTGTACATTAAAAACCACTCTGAATGTTATGTTGGTACGCTTGGTTTGAAAGTTTGATAAAATCTGTTCAGTTTTTCGTTTTCTGGTTTAAATATTTAACGCATTTAACATTAGTATATTAAAATATTTCAGGTATTTCTTTGCCGTTTTGGCCATTTTAACCATCTTGGGTGCTTTGAATGGATTGGTGCTACTTCCTGTTCTTCTTTCCCTGTTTGGACCATATCCTGAGGTTAGTATTTTATTGGACTTTATAGTTATTTCATTCTCAGCTGCTATTAGGATTTTATGTCTTTTTCATTGTGTGTTACTTGTAATTATTTTACATTGCAATGTTTTTTACTTAAGTTTAGAAATCAGATTTTTTTAAAAAAATTGAAAATAAGTGTTAAGTATCTGAAATCTGGTTTGGCTGTCCAGATCTTTTTTAACTTTCTGATGCAATGCCTGACCTTGAGAGCACAACATTTGTCATCAGTACATGGACATGCCATCCTTTTCTCCTAATATCCAAATCTACCTGTGTGTTGCTTTTTATCAGAACAGACCACAGGGGTAACAATCATAAAAATCAGCTTGTATACTGCAGCTTACAAACCTGTGAAACCAGTGGATCTAACACTTGAATATGTGTCTATTATGGGATGCTGCAGTCAAGCCACTGTTGTGCTTTTGTAGGCAGGGGAACGCTCCACTCACGCAGCGTAAGAGTGCCATATGTGCAGAGCATTCTTTTTCATTGAAGAGAAAGGAGCACATGGTAGGGATGTGTCGCTTTTAGTCGGTGGCACTTGTAGAAGTGGGCGCCATAGATCAACCTTCCCCAACCTGGTGGCCTTCAGAGGCATTTGGACTGCAACTCCCAGAATTCCCATCCAGCAGGGCCTTTGACTGGGCATTCTGGGTACTGCAGTCCAAATGTGTCTGGAAGACACAAGGTTGGGGAAGGCTGCCATAGACTGACCGACTGTGTACGTGGCCGTGCTCACACTCCTCCTGTGAGCCACTTTGCTCCACTGCCTCATTCAGCCTCTCCCAGCTTTGTGCCTTCCAGTTGTATTAGGCTATAGCTCCCATCATCCTCAGCCAGCAATGCCTGGAAAGGATTGTAAATTTTAATCCAACACATCTGGAGAGAGCCAGGTTGGGGGAGACTGGACGGATTCCCATTGCCTAGAAACTTGCTGTTGGGGCAGGGAAAGGCAGAAATGGGGTAGCAGAGACAGCTTTTTGTATGCTTCGAGGCCCAGGTAGAGCACCCGGTAGAAACCCAGTATCCCATTAGAGAAATTATTTCTTTATTTATAATTGAATTTATAATCCGTGTTAACCGATAGCCCAGGAGGACTCTCTGGCTGGGTTTATCTGAAAACACATGAAAACAAAACAAACAATGACAATGAAAACAATATACAACAACATAATCCCCATCATAAACACAAACCACAACAATATATAATAAACATACAGTAAATATACAATATGAATAAATTTTTAGACAAACACACACACACAAAATAAATATACAATATACAGCTGAGAATTTAACCTGAGAATTAAAACAGTACATGTTAAATACTAACGTACACCCAACATTTAATTCAGTTAAAATTAATCAACTCTACAGAATTAAAATCAATTATTAAAATATCTGGAGAATAAAATGGTTTTCCCCTGGTGCTATAAAGATTGTAAAGAGGGTACAGGCGAACTGCTCTTGGGAGCAGTTGCATAGGTGGGGTGCAGCCACTGAGAAGGCCCCTCTTCTGTTCGCCATCCTCCTTACCTCCTTGGAGAATGGCTCCTTGAGAAGGGCCTCCAAACCTGATCTGAGGGGTCATATGGGAGCAGGAGATCCTTCAGGTATCCTGGTCCCATGCTATGTGTGTTTAAACAAATAAATGATGTTCTGTGTGTAATTCACATTGTGTGTAGACTGCCATTTGGCCCGGTCAATTTCCCCAGCAGAAGAAGCCATGCTGAGAGCAGTCAACCTTATTATGCTTACCTTCTCCTTGCCCCAGGATTAGTTGTGGCTGGGTGCTCGGCACCAGGGAAGAGAGAGGTAGGAGCAGGAATTCTGTGAATGATGGTACTGACCTTTTGCATAGCACTTGGACCTTTGTAAATGTTTAAACATGGACGGAAGCACAGCCCTTTTTGGGGTGAGCAGAGGGATGCTTAGGGATCCCTAGCACAAAGAGCTTTGGTTTATGCCCAGAGGTCATGGATTCTGTGTTAAAATTCAGAAAACCAAACTTACATTACTGAAATGTATAATGGAAATTAAACAGATTTGCATATTTCATTCAATCTTCATATCTGTTTTCAGTAGCAGAATTGGTTAGGTTATTTTATTTTCTTTCTAATTAATTTTCAACCAATCAAAAAGGAGTGTTGGAGAGAGGGACTGTACATAATTTGTGATAGAAGATAGGAAGAAAATTTAGAATTTTTATTATTTAAGATAGTAGAGGGACAAGTTGTTGGACTTCCAATGCTGAGTGTGGTCCATGTGTGATCACGTATAGCAGCAGGCAATGCTTATGCTGCCTTGGTAAGAACTGAACTGGACTTAGAAATGAATTGCTACTGCAGATGGTATCAAATTAGTAACAAATTCCATCCACCTGCATCCAGTCAAAAGTCTGAGTGCTATATTTAAAGCAGCCAACATTTTTGAATACTTTTCAAAGTCATGGTATTGTGCATATGTAATCTAAGCCAAAAGGGCAAATCCACATGTTACAAGCAGCAACAAGAGTTCAACAAAAATGCATTAACTGCAGTTTTTTAAAAGATATCAGATCTGGACATATTTCATGCTACTACGCTTTGCATCAGGAGATATTACAAAGTGCAAGCAATTTGTGGTTTTTCAACAGAGGGCTAGGTGTTCCTTCAGAATCTGTGAACCAGCCTGAGGCTTTTATAAACATACATTAAGAGTTTTTAATTATCCTTCTTAGGTTTCTCCAGCTGATGGAAGGAGCAGGTTACCTACCCCCTCTTCTGAGCCACCCCCAAGCATTGTGAGGTTTGCCATACCACCAGGACATGCTCAGAATGGGTCAGATTCTTCTGATTCTGAGTACAGTTCTCAGACCACAGTATCAGGAATAAGTGAGGAGCTCCATCAGTATGAAGCTACGCAAAGGACTAGTGCCCCAGTCCACCAAGTCATTGTTGAAGCAACTGAAAATCCAGTATTTGCCAGATCCACTGTAAGTATCCCAATCCCACCCATTCTCTTGCCTAGTAGTCTTGCATCCTGCATTGTCTTATCAACCCGTGCCCTAGTTGGCTTGACAGAAGCTACTGCAAATACATGGAGCCTCACCTCCCAAACTGCTTCATGCTTTTGGGTAGTGCTTGGTCTGAAAGTTCATACACATGACAAAGTAACTGAGATGGCAAGCTCCAAAACTTCTCAGGATAATTTGGAGCTGTTTTTGCTCTAAGGTTGCATGTTTGAGAGGCCTTTTGACTTGAATCTCTGACTTGCCTGGGGACAGCTTCAGGCACTCCCACGGTGGCAGCTGCCTCAGTCAGGCAAAGGACTGCAGCAGCTCATTCACACTTTCACGAAGCTGTATATGTGAGAGCATGAGTGCAAAGAGGGAATAAATGGTGCCTCTTTTGTGACCTGACCTTTAATTATCTTTATTTCTGGCTCCATGTGGTGCAAATCTCAAAAGCATTTTGGGAAAGGAAGTGTTGGTACAACTTCAGCGCTAAACAAATGTAGTCATGTTTCATTTGTGTTATTTCTTTTTCTGAAAGTGCAGAGGTTTAGATTAAGAGCTTGGCATAGCTCTGGACTGGAATTGGGCAAGTCCTTTCTCATCTGTAGGAAGTAGCTTTGGTAAAAGATGTAATAGAAAATAGGGGGGTTTAGGGTTAGGGTTAGTGCCCTGGCTGCACAGTGCCTTGGCTGCCCCACACATCTGCAGTGGAGCCTTGGAGAGGACAAATAGGGGTGTGCCAGGGATGAGGAAGGGAGGCAGTGTGGCTTATGCCAATTCCTATCGGTGTCTAAGCCTCCTCCTTTCCTCTTCTCCAGAGCTTCCGAGCTTTATGTAGACAGCCCCATATGGTTCCCTAGGTAAAAAGCTGGGTCAAGGCACAGTGCAGCTTGCTCTTGCCATTGGATGTTTGTAAGCCTCCAAGCAATTGGATTGCACCCTTAAAAAGAATAAGAAATCTACCCAACATATTGGATAGCACAGATCATAAAGATTTCACTGAAGGTGTTATAAACCACATTCTGAAATAATTAAAGCACCAAATGCTGGCCGTTGTACAAGTACAGAGGGAAAAATATTTCCCTCCCCCATTACTATCCAGTGCTGCATCTGGGATGAAATGCAAATAAGTAGAGGCCTAAAAATAGGTACAGGCTGAACCACATTTTGAGTTGGTCATGGTTGTTTGATTTATGTGGCTGCTGTGCTTCACGCTTTTTACTAAGATCCAAAAAACCAGATTCTTACAACTTACATCCCAGATGCTTACATCCCACTAACATCCTGTGTACGCATACCCAAGCTGAACCACAATTTCTGCTGCAGCCCAACTATTTGGTTAGGGAGCTACTTTGGAGATTGATTCCATCCATCTTCTTGAAATATACTGATAAATGTGTCAGAAGCTTAGAATTACCCGCTGCTGAGTTTGAGGGAAGTGTGTTTGTGCGCATTCATATACCGTCATTTAAGAGAACTGCTTTACACCAGGTTAGATCACTGGCCCCTCTAACCCGGTGTGGTTGAAACTGAATGGTAGTAGCCATTCAGGATTTCAAGCAGGAACTTTTCCTGCCCTTCCTGGAGATGCCAGGCATTGAACCTGGGACCTTTTATCTACAAAACATGGTCCACTGCTGAGCCACAGCCCCTGCTGTCATGATATGCCTTGTCACTTGTTACAACTTTTGGAGAACATACTGTAAGGAGAGCACCTGTTAACCTCCAAAATTACACTGTCAGAATTTGTCTGAGAAAACCTGATTCCTTGTTAGGCCATGGTAGGGTATCTAGCAGACGCAATCATTTTCTTTCATAGATGCATTCAAAGGTTTTGCTGCCTCTTTCATTTCCAGGTGATCCAGCCAGAGATGAGGTATGCGCAGCCAAGTCCAAGATCACAGCCTAACCAAGAGCCTGGATCCCAGCAAGCATGGCATCAACATAAGAAACCCAAAAGAGAACCAAGGGAAGGACTCCGGCCACCCCCATATCGGCCACGCAGGGATGCTTTTGAAATGTCTACTGAGGGGCATTCTTGCCCTAATAATAGGGACTTTTCTAGTCATAGAGCTCAGTCTCAGAACATCAGAAACCCCACCTTCACTGCCACAGGGGCTTCGGTGCCGCCTTACTGCCAGCCGATCACTACTGTGACTGCCTCCGCTTCAGTTACTGTCGCTGTGCATCCTGCCGTGCATGGTCACAATACTTGTGGGGGAGGCTTTCCACCCTACGAGGGATACCATGAAGCCGACCATGGACAATTTGAGGACCCTCATGTGCCTTTCAATGTCCGGTGTGAGAGGAGGAACTCTAAAGTAGAAGTAATAGAACTGCAAGATGTTGAATGTGAAGAAAGGACTTGTAGCAACAGCTCAGAGTAAGGTAAGGCTTTTCATCCCCGCTAGGTAACATTTTCTATTCCAGCTGCAGGCATGGAGCAATCCAAAACCATGTGTATGGAGCTCTCTTAGTCTGGAAGCCGGCTCTAGCTCCCAAAAATCAAGAGCGCCAGCTTATTACAGAAAACATTTCAGGGAGTAGGAATTAAAAGGTCAGTGTGGCAAATCTTAGCTCTGAATTGACACCTCTGGCACTTGTGGCCATCCAGATTTTGTTAGACTGCAGCTCCCATAATATTGGCACACTGATAGGACTTAGGATCCAAGTATGTCTGGTGGGCCACAGATTTCCTGGACAATATCCTAAATGATTGTCTACCCAGGTGCACTGATCAGTCGCTAGAAAGGAAGAGGCTTCTTGCCCTTATTGACGGTAGCCCAGCATCCCTGTGCCCCTGCTTCACCTTGTGGTTTGTAAGATCTGACTTGGCTGCCACAGCTCGGTGGTGGTGCCTTATTGCTTCCCCTCCCATAACTTTTCTGACTGCCACTGAATGCACTGCACATGAATGCATGTGTGCAGGATTGAAACCCTATTACAGCATTCTTCCTCTGCCTATTAGAGCCCTCCCTGACTTTTTAAATGAGAAATATCAAGGAGGATGTACTTAATCAGAGGCCAGAATGCCCTCGGAGGAGTTTGACCCTGATGCATCATAGTGCTGTGCACCAGGGCCTGGAAACTTTCAGTCTACACTTATTTCAGATGAGGCCTAGATAGTCTGGTGGGTGGACCAACATGGGGCCTGCATGGGTGGAGGTCTCAGGTTTGTTGTGTACTCTCCTAATGTTGGACATAGCTGGTTGGTCTCAGCCCTGATTTACATGCAATGCTAAATTGTAATTAAGCATTACAGGTACAAGTCTATAGCCAGTGATCTTATCCCTCCGTGCTCCTCTTCCACGGGGGCCATAACAAGATAGGAACTAGTACGCATGTCCATTTTCGTTGGTTTGATTTTGCTTGCATCAATAATATCTAGTTAACCCAGTTTGTCTAGGCTGGGACATAGCAGACTGTGTTCTGTTGAAAACATGAGCAGATGCTTCTGGAGAGGACTGGCGGGTGCATGAGCCTGGGACTAATATACATAGCACTAAAAAAGAGCAGTAGTTCCGTGAATCTGCTGCTGGGAGGGGAAAGAGGCAATAGGCAAATGAGCAATGCAGAAGAGCAGATACAGAAAAACAAATTGCTCTAAGTTATATCTAATGATAGAAAAACTAAATTAAAAGAACTATGGAGACATCTGTGAGAAGTCCCATTCATTTCCTTGGAAACATATGAGGAGCTGGGATAACCTGGTTTAGAGCAAGCCTGCCTTACAATATTACACTGAATTCCCTGTAATCCTTTTTCACTTCTAGGAGATATATATAGATATACATTACATTTAATTACATTTAATTAATTACATTTCTATCCCACCCTTTAGCCAAGCTGACTCTCTGTGTGGGTTACAAGATGTATAATAACACCAACATACACAATAAAAACAATAATATTAAGTTGGGCATATATAATACAATAAAATAACAACAATAAAAACACAGAAAAATCCCAAAAAACCTCACAAAGGATTCAAAGGATAGTGAGTGTAGGGACATCAAGGAGTCAGATTTTTAATGGTGCTCATTTACTTGAGATGTTGGTACAACTTGTGAACAATATGACATACCTCTGTCAGTTGTGCTTGCAAACCTGGGCAGAGATGCATCGTGAGCTACCTAGAAATGGAAATATTGAAAATTAACAAGGCGTTTAAAAAACCCTGTTTAAATTATTTGGCCACAGGAAGCCACTGCCAATGCTGGAAAAAGAACATCGGCCTCCTAGCTTTTAATTGCAGGACTTGTCAGATGGCTTGGGGCTGAGGTGATTTATTTATCTTTGCTGAACTTTAGGTGAACAGTGGGGCTCCTTTTTTTGTCTCTATTTGTACAGGGAAATAACTGAAGCAAAGAAGAGGCCAAAGATGGGAAACCTCCTCTTTCCAGAACTGCTTGAAGAGAAACTGCTTGAAGTTATGGAAAAGGACAATGCTGCATCAGGACAACAGTTCCCTGTTACTGTAACCTATTGTATAATTTTGTGAAATATTTCTATAAATATTTAAAAGATGTACACATGTGTAATATACAAGAGAAACTGTGTAAAATAGTATAATCTGGAGTTGTTTTAACTCCTGTTTAACAGAGTGGGGACTATTGTCGGTATTCTGTACTTTATTGTACATTGATCTCTGTACTACAACTAAGCTTAATCTAGTCGTAAATTTCAGCATATGTTGCTGCTGCTTAAATATTGTATAATTTACGTGTATAATTCTATGCAAATATTGCTAACGTATTAGGATTTTATTTTTGTTTGTTTTTGGTAAAGGTGTGTGTGTGCGCGCATGCGCATGTGTGTGTGTTAAAGTATTTTAAAATTTCCATATCACAGCCCTGTGGTAGTATGAAATGTTTCTGTTGACTTTCAAACACGCTATGCGTGATAATTTTTTCTTTTTCTTTTTTCTGTGTGTGTGTGATGAACAAATATGAAGAGCAGTGGGTTAACCTTGGTGAGTGAAGCAAGCAAAAATGTGTGAGTTCTGTTGCGATGTGCATGTTTGTGTACTGTAAGGACTATGTCAAGCACAGACTATCAAGAGCATCAGATACATGACTCACTGAAATGAATGTTGCATGTGCAAGTAGATGGTTTTTGGGCCACTCCATCCCATAATCAACAGCTCATGTGCAGGGGATTTTCCAGGAGGATTTTGTTCACTGGGGTAATCTTTCTTGGGTAAGGCTACAATCCAGCCCACATTTAATTTGTGAAGACCTGACACTGAAATTAGTCCAATGCCCACGTGTGCAGCTGGATGCAGGCTTATAGCTAGTCTTGTAGAGAACTACAAGTATCATTGGAGATCAGCCACTGCTACCAACCGCATCAAAGGACCGAGATAAAACAGAATAGAGATTAGGAATCGGTATTTATGGCCTTCAATTTTGTTACTTCAGTTATGCGGCATTTGGCTTTCTAGGGAAATAACCTGATCTGCATGTTAGTGATGTTATAGGGCAACTCACTAGGGCTGTAGCTCTGAATCTGGGAGGCCATGTGTCTCCACCACCTTGTGGTCCATGGATGCTTTCTGTAATAAAGGTATAAGGGCCCTGATGATGGCTGTTACATCTTAGTTTAGTTGGCTTTTGGCCCACATTTGCTTCCTCTCCTGCTGCCCTTCCTTGACTCTTTCTGCCTGTGTTTTTTTCTGCAGATTCTCCTGTCACTAATAGGAGTATCCTTAGAAGAACGGGTCTTTTAAAGACGGATACAGAGATTTTAGAGCATATGTTAATTAGCAAATGCAAACTAGTGCCTTTTTTCCACCTGTAGGTCTGAGTCCTGGATCTTTTGGACACCTAGCACTGCCTGCCACTGCTGCCTAAGCTTCCCTGCCCATCCATTCAGTGGCTAAACTTGTATCTCCTAGTAGCATTGGAATGGCATTCCATCCTTAGTGAAGCACAGCACCATAACTAGATGGCTAGTTTGCAGCAAAAGGCTCTTAAAAGCCAACTGGTTGAACGCCTTGGGAGATGCTGATAAAGGCATTTGGATAATCATATTAAAGACTTTGCTGCACGCTGAACTTTGTAAAGGCATTCTGAACATAATTGACATAGTTATATTCTTCCTACCAATATTTTTATGAGAATTTCAAATAAATTAAGAAGAGCTTCTGTTCAGATGGCAATTAAATCAATTTCTTAATGCATCCAAGCTACTAACAGTGGATGCTCACATCATGAATTGTTCTTTTCACAGTGTTACAGTAGCATTTTTAATAATGAAAATATTCCTTGAATTAGCAGAATAAAGTAACTTTTTAAAATTAACATACACTCTTCGTACATTCTTTCCCAGCCCTTTCTTAGAGCAAGGAATTAACTAATAGACATATTTAAAACAATCAGAGAAAAAGGGTTAGCACCAAAGGCATGAACTTGTACAGAGGAATATGCATAAAATTTAATAAAACAATAAGATGCCCAACACATTTCAGCAAAGACCTCCTATGGGGGAAGAAGAAAACAGAGATTGTATTTTGTATACTGAAACGTGTTGAGTTTTTTACTATTTTATTAAATATCATTTTAGTACTATTTGAAGTTTTTTTTTTTTTGGGCTTTCTTTTAAAACAAACAAGTCCATCTTGTATCCAGAGAAATATGCAAAGGGCACAAAGTCAGCACAGTTGACCTACCCTCTTTGTTAAGCACAGCATGATATCTGGATGTAGCGACAGAGGCTGGTGATGTACATTCTCTCTGCTGGCTCCCAGGCTCATCCAAAGGGAGGAGCTCCTGCATTCTGCTCATTAAAAGATGCATGAGCCCTCCTTGTGGAAGGAGCGCAAACATATCTCAAGGGGAAGTTAGACTATTGATCCTTTATATAAGACCCAGAAGAATGTATAGAAATGATGCAAAGCACTCACAAAACGCTGTGCATCCAGTTTATATAAGACCACCCATATCACTGAAGTAGAATGATCTTGTGATGTTTGAATGCCATTTCTTGATGAGGTGCAGCCTGCCTGATACTGGCAATGCTCTTAGACAAGTCCCACTAATTTTGGCAGAATTTCCCAACAGAATTTGCTTCTGAATTGTGCTTATTGATGGGTTGGCCAATTCGCTGTTGGCAAACTGAACCAGAAAGAAGGCCCTATTTATACACCTTACCAAACTGGCTCAGAAGGCCTCTCTGTTTAGGAAAAATACCTAATATGGGGTGTGGGGTTCTGCAAATTTGGCTTGGTCTTGGGGAATCCCAGTGTGTCACAGTTAAACCCCCGGTGGCCCATATTGGGCTGACTTGAGATACCTGTTTTAACAGACCCTCAGTTTCAAACATTATTTGAATGGAGATACGCTTCTGCCAGGCTAAGTTTCTGCCCACAGATTTTCCTTCAGCCCTGCTAGACCATTTATAATGAAAGTGTAGTGCAAGCAGCCCTTTTCTGTCCCTGGCCTTGAAAGTGTGAGATGGCTCCTAACAACTACCTAACATGAACATTGGTAAAAGCAAGAAGGCATGTCATTGATTCATTAGTACATAAGCTACTTTTTAGTAGGACAACAAAGTTCAGTCTACTGACCCTGTTCCCTGTCGTAACATAAAAACACTTTGTGGCCAAAAGACACCATGCCCCCAACTGAGCAGTGGCAGTGTGGAGATGTCGGTATGATATTTTAAAAAGCTATATGTGTGATGCTAACGGTAGGCTACCCTCCACAGCCCATTGCTGTCGTGTTGGAGGTCACCACGGCTTACCACTGGTATTATTTTGGGACCAATCAGTCAGTCCATCCCACTCTACTTCCATTAAAGAAAGGAAGAGGGAAAAGTGGAAAGAGTGTTGTGCTCTGAAGCCCCTTCACCTTAGCCTTCCCGTGTGTGTGTGTGTGTGAGAGAGAGAGAGAGGTCCCTTGTGTGAGATACCTGCTTCTCAGTGCATAGTATATAGACCATTTTCTCTTCTTGTCACATTGGCAAAAGGAGATCTCAGTGGCTGGTTGTTTTAGTTTTTAACTTTAATTGTTGTTGATATTTATATTTTTGTATCATAAGAATGTGTTCGTACAGTATTTGTCATGCCAGTTTATAACAAACACAATGCAGGGATTTTATTTCTATTGGAAACACTATTACAGCTATGTTTTTACTTTATAATTGAATTTTTATTTGTATAGAATGCTTACTAATGTTAAATAGGAAGAGAGTATATAACATTTACATTAAGGACTCATTTTGTAGCTTTTTAGAGCAAGGAGTTAAAAGGAAAAAATATTCAGACTGGGTCTCATTGTCTGCCTGTGTTTTTTGTTTCTGTTTTTAGCAGGAATGGGTTTGTGTTTCAGTTACAAAGATAAAAGTATGCCATATAATTTATTTATATGAAAATTTATTTTTGTAGTGTACATAGTAGTCCTCAATTCTTTTGACAGAATTATATTTTTAAAGAGTTTATATGTAATGATGATACCATTATGTTTTGGAACATTGCTGAGACATAAATACAATGCACACTTTCCATGACAAGTCCCATTTGCAAACAAACAAACAAACGATAACAGTGTTAAAAGAGAGTGTGGATGTTTCATGTCATTCTGAACTGTTTTAGGTTTACCATTTTGTGATCTAGTGTGGTTCTCAATTTTAAATCATGAGTGAAAATTTGTACAAACTCTCTAAACATTAATGTTCAAACACTGATAGAAATTCTAACATGAATAAAAATTATTATAACTTATTGCTTACGTATTTGGCTGTTTGTGGAATGTTTATTTAAGAAGTGGAGACTTGCATCTTTTGAATTTTGAGCCAGACAAGCTAGCAGGAAGAGTATTGTTGGCAACCTTTTTATCAAAGAGCACTATCATTTTACAGCATGGAATATTTTATGAAGGATGTTAATGGTTCTGCACCAAATCTATTTCAAAAAGTTGTGACAAATCCTTGGTGTATGACAGGGGTGCAGAACCTGTAGCCGAGGGTGAGCCCAATTCAGCCCACCTGAGGTCCCAATCTTGCCCTTTTGGATTACCCAGATGGCCGTGCCCCTTTCCCCCATGATCCACTGCTTGGTGGCTTCCCAGCGTTTGTGAACCTTTCCCCCATTCTAAAGGACTGAAACGTTGCTGGTGCTAATGAAGTGTTCATGCTGGCAATTTTGCCCCTTTGCTCACCACCAGAATGTGGCCTCCCAGAGCTTCCCTGAAATTGAACTTGCCCTTCAGGATGAAAAAGGTTCACTGATCATAGGTCTGTCTTTGGGTAACTGAAGCTGCTCTACTGGCCTGAAGCTGCTCTACTGCCCAGAGAACATAGCATGCTCTGTTTGATTCTGGCACTATTTTCCAAAGAATAGCAGGTTATTCCAGATCAGAAAAAAAAGAAAATGCATAAAGAGTCCAGGGGCACTTTAAACACAGCAAAATATATCTGGACTATTAAGCTATTAAACTGCATTAAATCCAGTTTAAATACAGTTTAATAGTCCAGAGTCCTCTTCTTACATCTGTCAAAGCTGAACATGAAGTTTAGGCAATAAATTTAGGCCTCCCTTATTGTGATCTTGTGGTGCCTACAAAGTCCATCCAAAGTCCTCTTGAGTTTTTGATGGCATTAACTTTTATGATTTGTCTATCTGGCACCACACTGTAAGTAGTGTAGGGAAATACAGAGAGCCAGCACAAAATTGACTAAAGTTTATTTTAAGGGAACAAACCTATGGATGTTTAGATGGAAAAAAGGCCTACAAAGCCTATGCTGGGAGTTGCAGATTCGTTCTTCCTCCTAGAGACTTTGTCTCGAGACTGCCCTGGAACCCTGGAACTCAAGGTTGTGGACATCCAGTCAAGTGTAGGACATGTGAGAGGCACCTTTTCTCCTGCAAAATACTAAGATGGATGATTTTGGCTGCCTGGGGCTGATGCCTCTGCCCACGAGGAGGAGGGGTTGAGGCATGGCGTGGATTCTCCAAAGGACAGCAGCACCTGGCTCTTCCTCTCCCTGACCCCAGATTGCTCCTCCCCAGTGCTTGCTCCAAAGGCATTGTTCTCCCGCAAGAGGCTGACCCAGTGCAGAAAGAAGCACAGGAGTCGCAAGGATGGAGGGAGGGCCCTCCTAAGATGGAATCCCTGCTACAAACTCAGAGGGCTTTCACAGTGGGGTGGCAATGGGGACTCCAGCCACACAGGACCTATCAGCTAAAGGAATGCATCTCAAGTAATCTAAGTCAGACACTCTTAAAGATAAACCTAAAACATACTTGTAAAGAGGATTACCCATGAATGATGTTCAAAAGATTATCTGTTTTCATAAGGAATTTCTCCTCTTTTAACTCTATGGAGTGAAAGAAGAGACATGGCTGTGCGGACTTGGGCAAGCCTGTAGGAGAGGAGTCTAGACATGGTGTGCCTCACAAATATGCCGAGATATAAAGGACACTGAAAGCTTTTCAACAACCCAGAAAGGTAGAAGAGGAAGGTGAGAAGTGTGAGATTTCTAGTCTATGTCTAGCAGACAAAGTGTGTGTGAGGATAGGGGTGAGGAGTCCTGTTTACATGAAGGAAGCATGTTTGATCCCCAGGAGGGAAGAGCCTTGGCTTTTTTTAAAAAATAGTCATTTAATTCTTAGGCCTTTCTCCACAAAAATACAAATTATTCCTTTTCTCTCTCACATGCACAGAGATGGTATATCTGGACCTGGATTGATGGCTGTAGGTGCCACTTACCATGTAGACATTCTGGCATATTGATCTAATTTAATGCATTATTGTTGTAAAATAACACCATCAATGTACACAGTTATAACCAGACAGAGAGAGTCTACTGTAAGCAATTAAAACACTGACTTGGAGGCATCTGTCCTGGGGCAGGCAGTATGCAGCAACCATACAATATGAGGGCAGTGACATTATTCCAAAGCGGGGAATGAGGATGCAGTGAGATTCTCTGACATAAGCCGCGTAAGAGCAGCGGAGTGTGCAGGGAATCCCAGGAGTATTCGCATTGTCCAGGAAAAACTGTCTGGTTTCTGAGCTGACTATACATGGGGAATGGAACACCAGGAGGCAGTATCACTGGGCAACTCCTGCAAAGGGGAGCTGACTAAAATGTTACATCTCTATGTAGATATAGGTATCTAACTCTGCTTCTTTTTGATGGTAAAAAGGAAACATCTTTCCACTTTTAATCCAGAAAAAAGGAAAGCTGAGCCCCAGGTAGGAATCACTGGAAGACACTGGGCCTACTTGCACAATCATTGTGCGCAATAGGACTTAAGCAGCAGTTGTCTTCAACTGGAAAATGAGGACCAGGGTGATGGAGGTGGACAGATAACCCATCAAGCCAAACTGGACCAGAGGTGACAGCAGCAAGAGGAAAAGGCATGTGTCAGCCACCTGGAAAGGCACTGCAGGACCAGAGGCAAAAACAATAGGAACAGGTGGGAGTCAAGCCAGAACTGATGACATTCCAGGACTGGAGGCAGAAACCAAATCAAAAACACACAGAGTCACCACAAAGATGACTTTTTGCTGTGGCAAAACTCAGCTAAACTGAGGAGCTTCCTGTGCCTCCAGCGGGTCTGTGCGATTGCACTGGGCCTGCTTGTTCAAGTTTATTTATGTAATTTCTATGTTATCTGATAGCTGAAGCCGGGTAGTTCACAACAACTTCTAAGTGCTATAAAAAGAGATACAATTAAAAGTACAGATACAATAGAACACAGTATAAAATTCCAGTATTTAAAATGGTTTAAAATTTGAATATACAAAATTTAAAACAGTTTGAACATCTAAAGCAATTTCAGTAAAGCTAGACCTGATTAAAACAATAGACATATGCCATTGTATGCACTAAATGCCTGACGATAGAGGGCACTTTTAACCTTTACCAAACAGGTGACAATGTTGGCATCAGATGGGCCTCAGTGAGGAAAAGATCTCTTTGTGGCCTCTTTCCAGGCCTCCCTTGGAGTTGACAGTTGGAGGAAGGCCCCAGACGCAGACTGTAGAGTCTGGGTAGATTGAGGCTGGGAGAGGTGTACATCGGATATTGCGGTCCCAAGCTTAGTAGGGCTGGAGCTTATTGGTCACTACCCACTCGAGAACCTTGCCCAGGAAAGTCACTTTTGCCACCTGCCTGAAGTTGTTAGCATGCTCTGGGTCCAGGGAGCGATCTGTGAAATGCAGTCATACCACCACCTTTTTCAGGTAGCATGAGACCCCTCCCTTTCAGGAGCAGCCATTAATCACCGCCCTGAACCAGCTGCCTTTTTCCTTTCTGCCTTTTTTTATTAGCCAAGGGGGCCAGGGATCTAGAATAGAGGTGGTTGCATTAACTTCTTCAAGAACCTTGTCAATATCCTCAAGCTGCACTAGCTGAAACTGATCCAGTCAATGAGACCAGTCTGTGTTCTGGGAAACCTCACCAGATAAAGCTGTTGTAGTGCTGAAGTCTATGTCCTGAGAGATGCAAGAACTTTCTTTCCTGGAAGCGCCTAGCAAGTATGTTACAGTGGGCCTCAGATGGGTCTACAACATTCTTTGGGCAGCATGTGATAGGCCCTGGACAACCTTAAAAAGCTCCACTGGACAACAAATAAAAGATTGAACAGAAGCAGCGAGATGTAGTTTCTGTGCCACTCTTGCCCGGGTATACCTGATTATAGGCACATACAAGGGCCTGATTGCATCCACTAGGGATTTTCCTCCATTGACACTCGAACCATTTCTTATTTCATAAGTGTCAGATGCAGAGTATACCACAGAGTTGTACAAACTCTACTGCAGAAAGGATACTCAGGGCAATAGATGCAGGGAATGATTATCAAATTTGCAGGTGACACCAAACTGACTGTTAAAGCAGTATGGCAATAGAAGCAATTACTTAGGGAGTTTGTAGGCTCTCCCACACTAGAGGTATTCAAGATAAAACTGGACAGCCATCTGAAAGGGATGCTTTAACTGGGAGTCTTGCACTGAGCAGTAGGTTGGACCTGATGGGACTCTGCCCCCTTCCAGCTCTACTGTTCTATTATTCTGTGTCAACTGACCAAAAATTTCCAGAGTTTAAACGGGACTACCAGCTGGATCAGCTAGGAAATCTCCTAGAGCCTTCTGGAAACCATCCATGTCCATTGGTCTCTGGATCCTAATGGACCTCCCACCTTTGCATAGGGGAAATGTGGCATCAGTATAAACCTCAGTAAGCTGTGATCT